GCCCAGCCAGAGGGGAGTGGTACAGATAGAATAGGAAATGTATGTGTATAAATAAACACATACTGTATTTACATATAGACAATTACATTAATTGTATACTATAAAGAGCACCTTGAAGAGTAAGTTATAACTTGTAAAAATGATCAATAAAGTAGCAATTTTTATGTTCACTAATACTTCTACAATAAGTTTATTAATTTATTTGACAGATGACAGTAACTTTAAGTATTTGTTGAAATGGATTAAGTGATATACTATTCTCATTCTGTCCTCAAAAAACTGACTTTTTTTTTTGAGACAAAGTCCTGCTCTGTCACCTGGGCTGAAGTATATCATAGCTCACTGAAACATCAAACTCCTAGGGTCAAGGAAGTTTTCTGCCTCAGCCTCCTGAGTAACTGGGACTATAAGGCACACACCACCACTCCCAGCTGATTTTTCTGTTTTTTAGAGCTTAGGCTGGTTTCAAATTCCTCAAGCGACCCTCATACCTTGGCCTTCCAAAGTGCTAGGATTATAGGCATGAGCCAAAAAACTGATTTTTTTTTTTTGCAGTTTTTGGCTGGAGCTAGGTTTGAACCCGCCACCTCCAGCATATGGGGCTGGCACCCTACTCCTTTGAGCCAAAGGTGCCACTGGTTTTGGGATTTGTTTTTTTTTTTTGCAGTAAAAAACTGATTTTTAAAAATACATTTTTAAATGTATCAGTGCACTCCCTGAATGAAGACAGATAAATCATGAGATAAAAAGACAAAACTGTCAACACAGCCATAATATAGTGATCATTCTTCATAAAATGAACTAATTTATCTCAGTATTTATGGCTTATTTACTTTCTGAATGATTTGGGGCAGTTCATGAAAGTATTTTATATATAATATTTAAATAAGTCATACACAAAGAAAAAATCAATTAAAAGTTGCAGAGTAAGAGTTGTTGAATACTGGGGTGTTTGATACAAATTAGTAAAACTGAGTTTAGCTCTGAATTTAAAAAGGCAAAGGCAAGAAAAGAAAATAAGTTTACCTTGGGAGGCACCATGATATAACAGAAAGAATGCAGGTTTTATAGGCAAACTATTCTAGTACAGTTTTGTTCCACTGCATCCTCACTGCTACATACATCTATACCTGTTTCCTCACCTGTGAAATGAAAGTAATTTTATTTATTCTAATATCACATGATTGCTATATCAAATTAGTAAAGTGAAACCATTTTGTAAATCCCAAAACAAGGTTCGTTATCATTATTATTGACTTAATTTATTAAAGTATGAAAATAGTAAATTTATGTGGATAGAACATTTTTCTAGCACTATATTCACACTGAAGAATGCTTGTGTAAAAAAACTGAAAAACAAAATAAACATGTCCTTAACTAGGATTTTGAAAAAGACAGAAATCCAGGCACTGTGGCTCATGCCAGTAATCCTAGCAATTCGGGAGGCCAATGCAAGAGGACAGCTTGAGGCCAGGAGTTTGAGACTGGCTGAGCAAGAGCAAGACCTTGTCTCTACAAAAAATAGAAAAATTAGCCAGGCATGGCAGCTTGGGCCTGTCATCCCAGTTACTTGGGAGGCTGAAGCCGTAGGATCTCCTGAGCTCAGAAGTTGGAGATTGCAATGAGCTATGATCACAGCACTGCACTCACTCTAGCCCAGGTCCTGTCTCAAGAAAAAAGGAAAAGGAAGGGAGGAGTGGGAGGAAGAGGGGAGGGGAGGGGAGGGGAGGGAAAGGAAGGGAAGGATGTTTCTTAGAACTCTTCCATAAAAGCTGAAGGAATTATATTAAATCATAATTTGGAAGGCAAGGCAAGAAAGGAAAATAGGTTTACTCTGGGAGGCATCATGATATAACATTTCTGTACAAAGGTAAAATGACATGTTCTAAGTACATTCCTTTCTGACGGCATACTTAACACAGAAGTTAGAAAGCTAGACAGTTAGCTTACCAGTTAACCTGTCTTTCATGAATACCAGAAGCCTTAAGCCAACATTTGGCAAATGCTAGACTATAATCAGTTTGAGACTGCATTTTCTATAAAAAATGTCAAGCACCAAAACTCTGCATTGTTTAATCTCTGTATGACATCAAATACTCAAGAAGCAGAATAAATGTTCAATAGTGAAACTTAAATAGCTGGTTAACTTGCTCAGGAAAGCATTCTCTGCTACATAGGTGGTCTACTGTCATGCTTATAAGCAATGTTCTTTAATGACAGGAATAGGGAGTCAAAGGAGTTAGTCATAAAACAGACTATAGAACACATGTTGTTAGTAAAAAAAAAAAAAAAAAAACTATAGTGAAAAAATACTTCACAGAAAAATTCTAATCCCAGCTCTGCCACTAAACAATTTACTTTGACAAAACACTCAACCCATATGAACCTCAAATTGCTCATCTATAAAAGGATTTCAGATTAGAGAGTTTTATATAGTTTCTTCTATCTCTAAAATATTGTACTTCCAGGATTTAATTATCATTAAATTGGAAACTTCATGAGAGACCATTAGTAACACAGAGGAAACCTAACATAAAAAAATGCGGTAATCACTTGGTATATTTTTAAAAAGTAATAATCTGTATTAAGTGAACAAAAGGTCAAAATCTAGTTTGTAGCAAAGCAAACCTTAACTTGTCTGCTGAATTTGCTTACAAAAGTCTGTGTACTTTCAAAATAAAGTGACCTGGTATCACCCAACATTAGGTAACAGCAGTAGGGTGTGGCTCAGAAAAGGCACTTAACCATATGTAGAAATCAATGAGGGACCGGGGAAAACCCTTTTGTTGCTGTAAATTACTACAGGAATTAACATGTAGCTTCATTAAGTCAAGGGTAAGCACAATTTAAGCACATTAAAATATGAAGATTGGTCTCCCTTGGAAGCACAATATCCTATTACCACACAAAATCTCCCCCAAACTAGAAAAGAAACAAAGCAAAACTACCAGTTCTACAGTGTTTATCCAGAGGCCTAAAATTTCATAAACTTCGGTCTAATACTTCTATGTCTATAGTTCTTATTATATTTACCAAAGAAATAATTTTAAATACAGAAAAAAATTTTCATGCCTAAGAATGTCCTTTATAGAGTTATTTATAAAAAAGAAATTGGAAACAACATAAATCTAACCAAAAAAGAGTGGTTAAATAAAGTTGTAGCATTTAATGGAATAAAAATTAGCCATTAAAAACAGACTATGTGGGAGCACTGAAAAGTGTTCAAAATGAGGCCAAAAGAAGAAAAACATAGAATTATATGTATAGTATGTTTTCAGCTATATTTAAAATAAATAAAAAAACATAGTGAGAGGTAGCAAATATATGTTAATCATACTTTTATGTGTGACTAGTGGGACTGTGGGTAAAGTTTTGTACTTTTCTGTTTTCTAAATTTTATTTAATGAGTATGCTTTATTTTTAATAATGATTATAAAATACACCATTTCATTAGTCTTCAAATACCCATCTAAGGTAAATAGGGTACAAGTCAAGGTCATTTATCATGGAATAAGATATTCTCAAAACCTTGGAAGTGCTTTGAAGTCAGTCTTGTAAAAACAAGATAGATTTTAAAGAAAATCCTCCAATGGAAAAGTTTTCTTTTTCTTTTCTTTTTTTTCTAAATCCTGAGTGATCCTCGAGAGGTTAATTCCATGATTCCTGCTTTTTTAAATGTAATTCCTAATACGAGAGGTATTAAGGCCTGGGAAAAAAGACACTACGAAACATCAAGAAAATGGCTGAAGCACATGACACTTCTTGGGCATATAATCTGGCCTTCTAGCAACAAATATATCCAGGTATTAGGACAAAAAAAAAAACTTACCTAGGATCTCTGCCAGTTAGTAACAAGACCAAAACCTAACTAACTCCAGGTTTCTCAATGACCAACCTAGTGGTGTAGAAACTAGACTTTGGTATGGTAGTTTATAAGGTAAGAATTTTAAAACTGCAGTGCTTATATTTTGTTTTAAATTGAAAGCTGCTTAAAACTCTGAAACTTGCCGACCCACATGCCCCAGGCAGTATTAAATTACTCATTCTTCTTGTTACCTGTTTTTCCAGGTTTGCATGTATGTGTGTGTGTGTATACGTCAAGATCCACAGGCACATTCATACATATGTAGTTGCTCTTACTTTCCAGCCCCAAAGATGTTTTCTTTAAGATGTGACTACTTAAAATAGTATAAATGCAGACTTTCTGAAAGGATTCTCATAGTTAAAAAAAAAAATTAAGATGTAAGGAATAACTTTAAAATAAATTATTTTTAAATAAATTATTTTCACTATACTTGAAGAAAAATGTCTACAATTATGACATGGTAATGTTCGTGCTATCATCTGTACTCTATTTTTACCCTTTCTTACCTTCAAAAATCCTTAATTTCAGAATCCCATAAAATCTTTTGTTTTTCTATACCTGATGGGCTGGAGGAAGGCTGTGGTACAGGTAGTGTGAAAGAAAGAAAGAGTAACAAATGGGAAATACATGAAATTCTTGTTAATATTTCTTTGCAGCTTTATAAAATTTTATTAAAAGATTACTGGATCATGATCTTTTCTATTTTGTGACCCATTTCTTTAACACTCAATAAAACGCCAAAATTAAGAAATGTATGTTATGCAGAACACCTTTTAGAACACACAATTTTAAAATCAAACAATTAGGATACAAATGATATCCACACTTTGCAATTTTTCTTTGTAGGAGCCTTGAGATGCTTTAAAATTTCAACTAATATCCTGCCCATCGTTGCTTTTCTATGCTTCATATATTATCTTTCAACTAATTTTTATGAATACTATCAAAATTTTAATAATTGAGTATGATAAATATATAATTTTCTTATTCACATATGTACAGTGTATGTTAAACTATTTTACTTTGTTTCACTATTTTTAAGTACTTAAATTTAAAATAGTAAATAAATGTTAAGTCAGTTACTTTTTACTCTGTTTAATCATGATTTTAATTATTTGTATTTATTTGTTTGCAGGAAACTGGAGATGGTGGTTCTCTAAGAATGGTTCACTTTGGTTTGGTGTAAATATTTAGAAACTTTAACTTCATAAATAAACATGCCTTTTTCACATCTGAACTTTTTCATGGCCTGATACAGATTAAAATCTCTGTGAATTTTTAAAAAGAAAGTATAATCTGAATTGCTTATGAATTTCAGAGTGTTTTCAAAATAAACCTTTATTCATTTCAAAAATGTGTAGCATAACAACAGCAAGGTGATTCTAAGTAAAAGTCCTTAACCTATTCATTTTCAATGATATATAAATTTTGAAAGTATGATAACTCATAGGTGATTCAAAAGTAGAAAATATGGACTTTATTCTCCTAAGTATTTATCCTCATCTGGTCTTGTGTACATTATTAATTTACATTACAAATAAAGTATTTATTAAGCAAAAATTTCAGCCCAGACTCATTGTTGGTAGACAGTTCTTCATAGGTCTCTCAAGTTATTGCTATGACTAATTTGCCCTGACTATCCCTTGGAACACAGAAATACTATCTCCCTCTGGAGCAAATAGCAGGCATGCTTACTGCCTATTATAAAAGATTTGAGTTCTTTAAGTTCATGGTTCCTTTCTTTTACACAGCCCAAGAAGTGTGCAGGTGTCATCTAGCCGTCTTCACATTGACTGATGGGAATAAGGTTCAGGAAGTCAATGTAAAACTAAACCAAACCAAACTAAACAAATGCTGATAATTTGGTTATTATTGCTGTGAGTAGCAAACTATCCTTTCTCTCTGACTTAGGGTCTTCTACCTGTGCCCATGAAACTGTAGTTATAGAACTATACTTTTAACTACTCTAGTTACAACTGTTAGCTTATAAGTAGGATAAAATATCCAACTCTTTACAGTTCTTGACACCCATTTATTAGCAGATAGTACCTATTTTACAATTGTAGATCACTATACTATACAAGGTCTGTCAAATTCGCGAACTTGCAGCCATGCACTTACAGTGGCAGCACTATACCAACAGCTTGGTAAGGTTTCATAACCTTGGCATATCAGTGTAAATGTGTGGTGTGTCTTGCTGAGCAGCATTCAATATTGTTATAGTGGGTTTTTGTATGCCAGAGCAAGAATGTTGAAGATTGAATTAGAGTAACGAACAAATATTAAATTTCTTGGCAAGAATAGAAGTGAATCAGGTGAAGAAAATGGCAATGTACAAATGGATTAAACATTTTTTGAGGGAAGAAAAAGCATCACTGATGTAGAAGACTAGGGAAGCTAGTAATAAGCAGAGCTGATAAAAACATTACAAAAATTCATTGAATTGTACATCAAAAACATCAGCTGACAGGGAGAAGCATAACAGACCAAGTAACATCAACAGAGAAACATGAAAATCTTAACTGAAAATCTTGGCCCAACAACTCATGGCTCTTACATCACAACAATGCAGCAGGTCATAAGGCACTGTCTCATGAGGGAGTTTTTAGTCAGTAAACAAATAACTGTGGTAGAACAATCTCCCTACACACCTATCTGGCCCCCTATGATTTTTTTCTTTACCCAAAGAAAGGAAGACATTTTTATGACATTTAGGACATCAAAGGTAATATGACGACAGCTTTCATGGACAAGACAGAAAAAGAATTTCAAAACTACTTAGAAGGGTGATCTAGGTGCTGGAGTCAGTGCATACACAAGAGGACTACTTCAAAGGTGCCCATAGTGACATTCAGCAATGAGATATATATTTAATAGCACTTTTTTTTCCTAGAATAGGTTTGCAAGCTTAAATGTCAGACCTCATATGAAAGGATACTTCACATACTTTCAGGGAAATGCAAATTAAAACAATGAGATACCACAACCTATCTATTAGAATGGCCAAAATCCAGAACACTCATGGCACCAAATGCTGGCAAGGATGTGGAACAAGAACTTTCATTCATTGTTTGGCAGGTTCTTACAAAACTAAACGTCCTCTTATCGTGTGATCCTGCAATTGTATTCCTTGGTATTTATCAAAAAGAATTTAAAATGTATGTCCACCAAAAATGTGCACACATTTGTTTATCATAGCTTTATTCATAATTGCCAAAACTTGGAAACAATCAAGATGTCCTTCATTAGGTGAATGGATAAGCTGTGATACATCCAGATAATAGGATATTATTCAACAGTAAAAATAAATGAGCTATCAAGCCATGAAAAAACCTAGGGGAATCTTAAATACTATTACTAAGTGAAAGAAGCCAGTCTAAAAAGGCTAATTACTGTATGATTCCAACTATATGAGTTTGGGAAAAAGCAAACTATGAACACAGTAAAAAGGTCTGTGGTTTACAGGGGGAAAGGAGGAATGAATAGGTAGAGCACAGAACATTTTTAAGGAAGTAAAACTATTCTGCATGATACTGTAATAGCAGATATATGCCACTGTAGATTTGTCAAAACCCACAGAATGGGTTCGGCGCCTATAGCTCAACTGGCTAAGGCGCCAGCCACGTACACCTAAGGTGG